TTCCTCGCAAACGGAGTCTAAGTAGCTATACTTCGCCTAAGGTGGAGAATTTTCAAATTTTTATCTTGAGCCCTTACATCCTTCTGGCAAGCCTTACTTGGCTAAGTCCGAGATCTACATACCAGTTAAACCGGTCGTCTTCGATTTTCACCACTCAGTTCACCAGTTAAATTGATCGGCTTCGATTTCCACCGCTCGGATCACCGGTTAAACTGATCGGCTTCACGTCAAACTGCTCAGACTTGTTCAAGACAGCGTTGCTCAAAGAATAAAAGGCGCTCGGAGACTAGCTGTGCGGATATGACCCCCGGTACCCACAAGACAAGACATGGGCCGCGCCCCAAAGGTGGCCCAGCCCACAAGATCAATGGGTCCACTGCAAGACTATAAGAAGATGTGATTTATTGTATAATACCAAATATGATTTTTTTTTGTAACCCTACCCCTCCAGAGTATATAAGGAGAGACAGGGGTCCCCTAGACGGGATATCGAATCTGATACACAATCAATACAAAATAACAGAGCACAGGATGTAGGGTGTTACGTCAAGGTGACGGTCTAAACCTATATAAATCTTATGTCTTGTGTCTCTGTTACCATCCGATTCTGATCACGCGCACTCCCACCGATCATTTACTACCGTGGGTATACCCTCGGTAGACTGTCCGACTAAATTTCGTCGACGCCTCAAAAATCCTATTTGTGGTCTAAAGTTTTTATTATCACTTTAGTTCTTGAGGCTTTGATACGTGGTCTAAAATGATGGCTAAAGTTTAGTCAACCTTATAAAAGATAATTAGTTTATTAGACCATACAAATGAGCTAATTACAATAAGATCCAGCTACCAATGGCTCAATTAGGAATGGAAATGGCTAGGTTGATCCATTGGATAGTTGATCCGGCCTAAAAATACAAGGTCAATTAATGTTGGGCCGGCCTCAAAGTTTGAAATGGGTCGATAGAGCCAGAACTTATTGACGGAATGAGTAACATGGGTTAATCCAATCGTCACATAACAAGTTTTTTTTAGTTTGATGCCCTTTTTCATTTTTCTGAATAAGCATGGTAGGTCATCATAACATAACTTATACACACGTCTACCCTTGGAAGCAGATTGAGGAATATTTTATTTTGGATGTGAAAATAGATACATTTTAATCATGATCACTTGGAAAGTTATTTAATTTGATGCATTGCTAATAGCCTTAATGTGTTATCATGATACTTTCCAATCTTGTATCTCATCTTCTATACGTGTCCATGTCTTATTGATAGCAAAAAGAAAATATTTAGGCCTAGGAGACCATAGCCTTCTGGTAAAATGAGTTGACCCATGTCCCATAAATTTGGTCTTGAGGCCACTGGACCGGGTCCAAGGCTAGGGCCAGGTTGACCCAATGTCATACCTAGGCTCAACTATAGATACTTGTGGGAATATGACCCTATGGAATTTAGGTTTGATCTGCTAGGTTATCTGGCCTTTTATTGAGATAGACAACGAATGAAAATGTTTGATAGGCATGTAGGCAATCCTCTCATAAAAAAGGGGGCGGGGAGTGCCGCCCCTATTTGATTGTGCCATAACTGACAAGGGATGAATTTCCTCCATTTTCATCATTGGTGAAAACCTCTTCCTATCCGTAGGGCAATTCTCTACGAATGATCAACACTTGGATCTCTATCTCCATCCTTAAAAGCTTATTTGGCTGCACTTCAATCCATCTCCTTTCATATGTATCGAAGTGGATTATAGTGCAGCCAAACAAGGTCTATGCGAGACTGATGGACTCGTGAATAGGAAAACATGACTGGGCACTTTTATTTCTCGTAAAGGTGACGATTTTAGGACCCTACTTTCGCATAACCTAAAAAAATGTATGACATATATTTAATTGTTCATTAGACAACTTTTTGATCAACAATCACTACTTTATCCCTCCGAATCCAAACAGAAGTCCATTTTTTTGGGGGGGGGGTATTATAAGAATAAGAATCAAGATGGGTGCCAAACGTATGACATTGATTACTGTCCAATTAAATTGTATAGACACAGAAGAACAAAACAGGAATATGCATTTGGTGCGTCTAGAAAAAGGCTGATTGACAGTAGTAATTTGGATACAGAGGGAGTAATGTCTAACTTTTGTGATATAAAATTGGCGTTACGAGATTAAAACTACTACTACTACTACTTATTTAGGATTAAAAATCTAAATAACATAGTTGAGTCAAGCTCCTGTATAGCGTAACAACATACATCTTATACTTTTTCGTGGTGGCAGTACTAAGCAAGTGGAAGGAAGGTGTTCCACTCAGCTGAGCTATCCGGATACCAAATATTTCAGGCCCGAAAGTTCTGAAGAAATTTAAGAGGGCGGTCTGAAGTCGTTTACGCCAGGAAAGTCACTGGTGGGCTACTCTTAGACTATGTGTTGACGGTTTCAGAAACGAAATTTATTTACATTTACATAACACGTGGTAAGTGACGACGTGAGACGGACGTGCGACTCGCAAACAAGACAGGTTGAACAATCGTTCGTCAAGACGCGAGGAGCATCCATCGCGCAGCAGTCAGTACAGCACGGTTCACGGGCCCCCCTTTTGCGCAGGAATTTCGTGCGCTAAAGCAGAGTAGAGCCTTTTTTTATAAACAAAAGTAGAGCTGCTCTGGTTGGCAGGTTGCCGGCCGTGTGTTTATTTCCCCGGTTAAACTTTAGCTCCTCGTCACATCATATGTTTGACACATAAATATAATATTATAAATTAAAAAATAATTAATTGCATAGATTACGATTAATTTTCTAGACGAATTTTTTAAGTCTAATTAGTCCATAATTTGATAATGTGGTGCTACGGTAAATATATGCTAACGACGGATTAATTAGGCTTAATAAATTTAGATTACCACGATGACTTATGTAATTTATTTTATTAACACTTGATGTGACACCCTCATATCACACTCTAAACTTCCGAAGAGACGTTTGCAACAAAGTCAATTCTTGAGCTTAATTTACTCCTCCTCCGTTGAATAGCTGGAAGTCAACTAGGGTGTCCTTGCTCGAGCACTACGGAGTACGGATGCGCCATGCCGGCGCGGCGACGAGCGGTTCCTTCGTTTCGTCGCACTGGCAAAGCCAAGGAGGTGGCTCTAGCCCGTCCATGCGAGCAGTGCGGACCTTTTCGATGGTCCAGTGGCAGAGCAGAGCACAGTCACAGTGCTGGATACGTTTTCCGCGGCAAACACTACGTACGACGTACGTACTCTTACTGTCTTACAGTACATGTTTTGCATAGTCAAGCATCCTGCAGTCAGAGAGAGATCACAACACATCGTCACCCCGCAATCAGTGGCTGGCTACATGTTCAAAGTCCATGGCAATAGGATTACTCTGTAGTAGAGCGAGCGGATAAGGCCGGTGCGATGTGGCGATGGAAACAGCTGAGTTTTGGAACGAGTCGTTCCTGGCCCTTGGTCCTTCCTACCGTCCAGTGTTGCATTGCAGAAACGGCTCGGACAGCAAGAGCCAAGAGGCCGTGCATGTCGTTCGCGGCTTTTGGTCCGCGGCCCCGTGCCTTTCAGCGAGACAGAGGGGCGTGACGGCGTGTTGCCGACTTGCCGTGTGTGTTTCGAGATGGTTTGTTCTCCGAATCTGATGGCCGGATGGGAAATTTGTCATCGCTCGTGGTCGTGGGTTCATCGAACGCTAGCGATCGCAATCAGCTTGCGCGCTAGACGCGCTCTCATTACGCGGAGTCGATAATAGCTCGGCTCGTTGCCTGCGTGCCGAAATTATCGTGGGTTCTCAATTATGTTTGCCCAAGCATACATGCCGTCGCGCATGTGGTTAAGCATGTCAGCGCATGTGCACGCCCATGCATTCCTTGACCCTATTTAATTTGTTTCCTCAACAATATCCTTCGTTGTTGCTTTATAAAAAGCAAAGGTTACCTCCCGGAAAAAACAGTGTTTTATAGCAATCCAACACTCGTTTTTTTTCATTCTCTTCTTTTCCTCTCCCTCTGTTCTTCTCCAACTCGATCCAGCGGGCTTAGAAGGGGCTCGGGGGAGGAAAGCTAGCCAGGTGGTGAGGACGGCGGTTAGGGTTCTGGCGGCGTAGAAGGCGTACGGGTCAGGTCAAGACGGGGCGTCTATGGCCATGACGGCGGTGGGAGGAGGGGAAAGAGGAGGTTGCCGTGGGTACGGTAGGGTCTTGTCAGAGCTTCACGGCCGCGGAGCTTCCGTGAGCCCTACCACGCCACGGTGGGTGGGGTGGCACGTCGGAAGGAGGAAGAAGACGATGAAGAAAAAAAAGTCAAGTGTTCTTGGGAGCCAAAACAACCAAGCCACAGATAGATATATAAAAAAAAAGAAAAGAAAGAATATCCTTCACCAGCACACTCGACCAAGCGCCACCCCGACCAAGTTTTGGGCTTTGAACTGGTGGCCGGCACAGTGAAAAAACCTTGCGTATGAGCGCCCGTGAGCGCCCGTGAAGCTTATTTCCGAGCTCCTGATTGGCTGCTTTTTTATTATGGACCCCATGTGCATGTCACTTTTCACAGGCAGTGGACCACATGCATGCAGCCGGCTCAGGGCGCTTGGCTCGTTTGCTCTGGCTCGGTTCGTTCAGCCTGTTCACACTCACCGTCTGTAGTTGTAGTAGTAACGTATGGGCTTAAATATCCTTGCAGGCTCTACCATTCTACTACTCCCGTATCCAAGAAGCCATACTCTGTCCTCCTGCTCGTGTTTTCCTCTTATTTCGAACTCCCAGCCATGAACCAGACACCAGCTCTTCCTGCTTCCAGCGATTGATCTGAGACTTCTCGTTCTAGTGGTCGTGGCCACCGCTTTAGACATCCTTTGCTTCGATGTGCTTGTGGTGATCTAGCTGTCGTTTTACATGCTGGCACACCTCGCAACCAAGGACGCCGGTTCATTAAGTGTTCTAATCATGTAATAGATCTTCACCTCGTGCATTCAATATCTTTTTCCTATTTTTTGGTTTTTGATGATGCTTTTTTCAGGACAATGGTTGTGCTCTTTGGATCTGGGATGACCTCCTTGAGGATTATGTCAACATTCGGTTGTCTCAAGCTGATATGGTTCATCAGAACATAGTTTTTGGTCTTAGATCTGAGATTGAAGCCAAGGCTGTCCTTTTGGCTGAAGCAATGGAAGAGCTTGCAGCTGCCAGAAGCAGTAGTCGCCGTAGGCATTTTTTCTTTTCTGTTCTTTGTTTCGTTGTTTGCTCGATCCTAGCCAAATCATTCAACTGAGCTGTACTCCGTTGTTTGTAACTGCAGTAATTTCTTAGTAGTTCATGTAGCACTTGTATCTTTGAACTTTATGAACTTGGCTCAGTCTTTAGAACACCAGATCATAGCCAAAGTATTTTTATTTTCTTTTTAATTACATCTTGGTGCTACCTCCTCTGGTTTCCCATGATTACGTAAATTATGTGCGTGTTATTTAAACCATTCATTCCGCTTTACGGTTGATATATTTTATCATTCATTTAATTGCGAGTATTTATTTAGAAAACAACGTGTTCTAGGTGTCTGTATTACTAATTTAGAAATTAGGGCAAACTCATGGTTTTATTATAACCAAACCATATTTAAACTGTCATCTAGACATTATCAATTATTTTACTTAACAAGTTTTTGTTAATAATTTTCAGTCCCCGACGCTTCACTTTTCTAGCCTTATTTTGTGAATTTTGAAATATTTCAGTCCCTGCTGCTTCAGTATTCTAGCCTTTCTTGTCACCTATTTGTACTGGCATCCTATTTTTTGCAACCAGGTACATGCCATGTACTACTGGCCAAAAGTTTGACAAGTCTATCTACTGCACCGTTATCTTTTTTTATCTCCATGCATACCTCTCATGTATCTCCCAAAAATTGGACAAGACTAAACCTGATAGCACATTATACTATTATATCATTTTCTTTTATCGTGCCCTTGTGTCTCTGATTCTTTTACTAGACACCCCTACTTTTGGAATATGTCACTAGAACTGCATAGTATGTTTGTGCAGTTAGTACTGACTTTTTTTAGAAAAATTACATAAAAAATCTTTTGGATCAGTTATATTTAAATTTTGTGTCCTTAATTTAAATTATGTGTTCTAGTTTACTTAATTTAAATTATATGGTTGCAGTGGGTACATTGTGTTCGTCTTGAATTGTTGATTTAGACCGTCCCTTTTTTCCATTTGGTCGCAGTCGCATTTCTGTCTATTTTTTTCACTCTTTTGTTATAACTGAATTACCCTTATGCGCAAGTGAAATATAAAATGAACTATTTGATATTGGCCTAACCATTTTGGTACAGGCCCCTCCAATATTGGAACATTTTTTTGTTACATCTTGGTATTATCAGTTTGGATCAGTTCCTCCTTTTTATTTGTCCAGTTTGGTACCTCTTGTCCCCTCACGTTTGGATATTGGCCGAATTAGCATCCCTTATATTTAGGTCTCATATTAACTTGGCACCCCGATATTTTCATATCTCCCAATTTAAATCATTCTGAGACACTAGGAATATCTCCCAATTTTTTTTTCATTTCTAAAATGGCCAATGATGGAAATAGGAACTTTAAAAGAGCGAACCTTTAGATCTTACAACCGTATTTTATTCAGATTAGTGTGTCTGTTGACTTTTGATGGATTACTACAACAGCACTATTCGGTGAATATAAAATCTAAAGTTCAGACGTGGCTCTCTTCATAACAATATGAGAGGGATAAGTTACAATAATTATTTCAATTTGACACATAGAAGTACACAAGTCAAATTGCTTCTCTAGGCAGTAATCTACACGTGAATGCCTATTTCTTCACGGAACTTAACTAGGTCCCTGCTCCACATCAGGTACTCTACTAGAACTCGATGCACAACGTTGGCTTCTTTTTTTTCAAGATCCCTTGCCATGTCGTGGGCGTGGACTATGAGATCGGCGTATGAGCATATTTTCAAGTAGTCAGGGCAGAAAGGGTAGGAAAATTCATTGTTTTCACGTACTATCCAGTCATCTGCACCATTGATTAGCCCTTGAGTAGTTTGATTCTTAGGGCGCGTTTAGTTCCTCCAGAATCCAAATTTTGGCACTATGCAAAAAGAAGATTCCCTGTCACATCAAATTTGCGGTACATGCATGGAGTATTAAATGTTGATAAAATCAAAAACTAATTGCACAGTTTGGTTGTATTTTGCGAGACGAACGTTTTGAGCCTAATTAGTCAATATTTGGACAATTATTGCCAAATATAAACGAATGATACAGTAGTTACTGTGGATACAGTAACTTTGCCGGCGCCAAATTCGGGCGCAACTAAACGAGGCCTTAAGGTGACATATGCTTTCTACACTTGCCACACCTTCAGCTGAAACAATCATGTCGTCTTCTTCCACATATAGACTACTAATGAGCTCTAAAATAGCTTTTTCGTCAAATTTGTTGTCATGGGAAATGTCATCTCCAACTCTATATGTAAATATTAGAACAGAGTAAATTATATTAGTTGTTAAAAAGAACATCTACTTGTAATAATAATCACATAGTATGACATAAAATTAAATATTCACTTGGCATACCTTTATTTGCCCTTTCCCATGATTAAGCTAGCCTTGCAGAGCACAATACAACATATGTGTTGTGTTGGGGCTTCTACGAATGGAAAAATTTGCAAAAATAACATTTAAAAGATTGACTCCTTGATTATGATGACATTCAGGTGGATGACAAGTGGGTCCATCGGTGTGTATGAATGTGAGTCCAGTGTCAAATCTGCAAACAACCGATGTTTCGAGTCCCATTTTTGCAAATCGTTATATAGTAAGTTTACTATTTATTATTTTCTCTCTCTTTCTCACAGTAGAATCTTTCACGTGAACTATGTACCATTCTTGAGGTCTTTTTTCCTCATGATAATTTTGTAGAATCTTTCACGTCCGTTCTCGAACTATGTCCTAATCTTCATTCTTGAGGTTCAAATATTCCTTCTCATGTTGCGTGTACCAAATAGTTTTGTCTTTGGTTTAGTACTCGATACCCTCTGCTGAACCTATTCTCGATTCATTATTTGATGGTGCAGCCCTAAAGACTTCTAGCCGCAGTATTCCCTGCTTTTCGTTCAAATATTCGTTCATGTTGCGTGTACCAAATAGTTTTGTCTTTGGTTTAGTACTCGATACCCTCTGCTGAACCTATCTCTCCAGTTCATTATTTGATGGTGCAGTTGACAAGACCGGTGCCGCCGCAGTGATTCCCTTAAAGTATTTTTACTTTCCGTCTCGTCGTCCTCAGGGAATCCTGCTCTTTGTACATGTTCGGCAGCGGCACCACACCCCAAAGGTTTTAGCTATCCATAGCTAGATGGCCGCCTGTTCTCATCGCCACTCATCATTTATGCTATCAGCGTTCCCTTCGCCACTTCCTTGTCCATAGTTTAACTCTTTCTTTACCATGGACGCCGTTCTTAAGGTAAGCATCTTCATCATTCAATTATTTTCAATAGCACGTTTACATTCCTAATATGTACATATTTGTCATTCGCAGAAGTATTTTGGTTTTTCATCCCTACGACCATACCAGCGTGATGTTGTGGACGCAGTTAGAAGGGGCCGTGACTGTTTAGTTGTCATTGCCACTGGTGGCGGCAAATCAATGTGGTATGTGAGAATTCCTTCATAAGTGCCCGCATCATGAACCACAGTAAAGCGTTCTTATTTATTATTTACTAAATTCAAAAACTATTATGTATTTTTTGTTTAATATTGTACACTCTAATATGACTTTATTACGAAAAAAACAAATATGCTACAGTCTTTTTACAACAATGGGCTAATGACAATTGCACTCTTTTTTGTTAATAACGGGGGAAGCTGGTAGCTACAAGGGGTGTCTATGGCCATGACGGCGGTGGGAGGAGGGGAAAAGAGGAGGTTGCCGTGGGTACGGTAGGGTCTCGTTAGAGCTCCACGGCCGCGGAGCTTCAATGAGCCCTACCACGCCACGGTGGGTGGGGTGACACGTCAGAAGAAGGAAGAAGACGGTGAAGAAAAAAAAGTCAAGTGTTCTTGAGAGCCAAAACAACCAAGCCACGGATAGACATATAAAAAAGAAAAGAAAAGAAAAGAAAGAATATCCTTCGACAGCACACTCGACCAAGCGCCACCCCGACCAAATTTTGGGCTTTGAACTGGTGTCCGGTGATTCTGTTCCTCGTAGCCATCCCTTCCGATTCTGAATTATTTGCTTTATTTCCATGGCACACAGCCCTCTCCTGTCCACAGCAGGGGAATTTGATGATCAATAATTTGTATGCTCAAAAGATCCAAAGTGGTGCAGGCATGCAGGGCCTTCCTTGATCTCATCTTGCTAGCACGCACGACGACTCGGTACCACTAGCACGCCTTTCGAACCTTGTGGATGGCGACGGGCCGATGGGCGCCGCGCCGGAGCAAGGAGGGAGAGCCTCCACGGGAGCTTGGACTGCTGGAGTAGACGAGACGTTGGAGCAGCGAGTCCACGAGGCAATTCAATGGTGGGCCTTGCGGAGCGGAGACGACGAAACAGGGCCGTAGCCTTTAACGACCTCGCGAAGTCGCGATCTGACGAGGGTTGACGGCCGGGAGCCCGGGAGTCCAGCAGTAACCACGAAAATACGAAATACGTAAGCTCGTTCTGAGCCCAATTAACTGCCCACCTCCGATGCTTCGATAATAGAGCGCCGGCATGGCAAAATCCAAACCATAGGTCCTCTCGAATCTCGAAAAGAAGAAAGCAGAGAGAATGATGCACCTGGTCCACTCCAACCAACCACCCGGTATAGACCCCAAAGATCTTGTATCCCATTCCACGATATGGCACTTGATGTCTTGATTGCATGAATTTGTGAAATTTTGAATGTCAAAGCTTTAGATCAAACTTGATCATTTTTCCACCAAAAGTCGTCATGAGTGATAGACCTCAGATTCACATGTATCCTCGGATTTAATATTGATAAGCATGGAACCAGTTTCTTGAGTTAGGTGAAGCGCATTTTACATCTACGATTCGAGACTTCAAATTCACGAGGATCCATGCCAATCAGATAGTCAAGGTGTAGCGTCGGATATACTATCGAAGTGCAATTACACCCCCCCCTACATATAATAAAGTGCAAAGGCATCATCTTTAGATTTGTAAGTACCCATGTTTATGAGAGCA